TCTGTCTGTCTGTCTGTCTGTCTGTTCTGTCTGTCTGTCTGTCTGTCTGTCTGCTCTGCTCTGCTCTGCTCTGCTCTGCTCTGCTCTGCTCTGCTCTGCTCTGCTCTGCTCTGCTCTGCTCTGCTCTGCTCTGCTCTGCTCTGCTCTGCTCTGTCTGTCTGTCTGTCTATCTAGTGCTGGGTAGATTACTTACAAATTGTAATCCATTACTGATTCCAAATTACATGACAGAAATTCTACTCAGTAACATAATCCATTACATTATGTATTGTAGGTAATATAATCGGACCACTTTTTGATTACTTTTAGATTGCTAACCTGTTTATCACATTGATTTAAATAGGATAATCTGTCTATCTATCTATTGATATGTTTGCGATAGACAGACAGACAGACAGACAGATAGATAGATAGATAGATAGATAGATAGATAGATAGATAACCACAAGTGGATTTAAAATATGTGCGATTGAACAGTAATCATGCACAAGCTTTGCAGTTTATTTGATGCTTTAGTTGTGTCGTTGGTTTTGAGGTGCAAATCAGTGTCCAGAAAATCCCCTTATGAAGAAAAAAGACTTCAAAGAAATCCTGCTGGCTCTGCTTGAGAGATGCAGCTTGGCCCTAATTCTTGACTATTTCACTAAATTGCAAATATTTACTCATGATGTGCGGAGGTCACTGTTTACAGGCCGACAGACGGTGGACCGGCGACGACAATATCCATAAAGGGCAGGATAAGTCCAGTAGAGCGTGTTTCCCTGCTTGAGTCAGTCACTGCTCAGTTTCCTGATACTGGACACATCCTCAGCTCAGTGAAGAATGTCACATATTATAATACTGCTAATATCATTATAAGAGAACTTACTAAACGGGTTGATCTGCACATGTGAGTTGTGTTTACACGTTACTGTTGCTAATAATGGGTGATGAGGATGAGTGATTCAGGTATACTGTATATTATGGGGACAGAATGTCCTCACAAAGATGGCAGTATGCAAAATCCTTGTCCTTGTGGGGATATTTGTTGGTCCCCAAGAGCTTATAAATTATACAGAATGAATTTTATAGGTTTAGGGTACACTTTAACTGTGACAGTTTGTACAGAATAATAACCTTTGTGTGTGTGTGTGTGTGTGTGTGTGTGTGTGTGTGTGCTCGCCTGTTCCATTGTACTAGATAATTATTCAGATTGCTCCCTGAACTGTGATTAAATGATGGGTGTAGCTTTATCAGTTATGTTGCTCACTCTAAGAATGGACTGATCTAAATAAGCCTGAAATCAAGGGAGGAAGAAGAACTAGGTTATTTATGCCAACAACGTATAGAAAACTCATATAGAGGCATCAAAGTGAATCTGGATACTGAAGCCACACTAAAAATGTATAAATGTAAACTATCAGTTAAAAAAAAATAAATTTTTTTATTTTTTTATGAATTTTCAGCATCATTACTCCAGACTTCAGTATCACATGAGCCTTCAGAAATCAATCTAATATGATGATTTGATTCAACTTTTTTTTTTTTTGATGAATTGAAAGTTCAAAAAACAGCTTTTATTTGGAAATAAAAATATTTTTCGTAACACTTTTTTTGTAAATCTTTGTAAATCTTTGTGTCACTTTTTAGCAAATGAATAAAAATGTTAAATTCTTAATAATGTTAATAAATGCA